AGAAAGGGAGAAAGTATGTATGTGTGACTGACGGGCTTCCAAGGATCACTATTTCCAAGCTTATAGGGGTGAGTGATTCCCATTTAGTTCAGCAAGCATGAAGTCTGCAAAGGTAGGAAGGCCTTTGTCTTTGTCACCACTTCCTGAGTATCTGTGTCTCCCCAAGTCTTAGTCCTATGACTTAAGGATAAGCTAGGTTTTGTTGCAGTAAAAACTGCCGGATCTGCCCATTGCCCCAAAACACACATCCTGCCAAAACATGGCAGGCCCAGCTCTGCTGCTAAATCATGTCAGACCTTCTGGGGCCAAGGACAAGGGTAGGAGTGGGTGGACAGAGGCAGAGACAGAAACAGAGAGAGATGATAAAGCTATGACAGATATGGAGAGACAGGGACTGTGGCAGTCTTGACGAGATCAGGCCTGCTCAGGGTTGTATGGCCATAGACTGTGGCAGTCTTGAGAGAGCTGTACCCCAAGTGGCTCCTGCTCTTCCCCCTTCAGAGAAGTCTCCCCCCGCCCCTCCTTTTTTTTTTTTTTTTTGAGACAGAGCCTCACTATGCAGTTCAGGCTGGCCTTGAACTCCTATCGATCCACCTTCCTCTGGCTCCCAAGTGCGGGGGATTACAAGTGTGCGCCACCACGCCCTGCCATCTTGAACCAAGGTCACTGAACTGCTCTAGTCAGTGAACTCTGCATAGAAGTTCACTTTGGGATGGGAGGCTTCTGGGCTGCTGCATGAGCCTCTCTATTCAGTGCCCCACCCGGGGTAAGGAGAAGAGTGGGTCCCTGAGTGAAGATGGCAGGGTTCACCCACCACTAACGTGCGACCAACGTGGGGTAGGATCAAAAATAACCTTTTGTTGCTCTAAGTCACTCAGCTCCTGAGACTATTTATTACTACAGCAGATCCTTATCTGCACTGACTAACAGAGAGAGAGAGAGAGAGAGAGAGAGAGAGAGAGAGAGAGAGAGAAACAGATGACAGAGAAGGGTGAATCAAAGCACAAAAAGCAGCAAAAACAAGGGTTAGAGAGGTGGGGAAGGCGACAGCAACAGAAAGAAGTGTGGGATGAGTTCAATCCCTGGTTTTGGGGGGGAAGAAGGGCGGGGTGTAACTCCGTGGTAGACCATGAACACAGCACACGTAAGATCCTGGGTTCCATGCCCAGGGCGCAAAAAAGCAACAAACTAAAAACAGGACTTAGCCGCAGGTCCAAGGGCAAGCAGAGTTCAACACATATACACATAGTAAGGAATAGATGCAGTCTCTGCCCGGGCTTATAGCAGCATTTAGCAGGGCTTGGGAGTATGTGTCACATGGAGAGAATGGAGTTGTGTGACTCACCACACACACACACACACACACACACACACGCATGCACGCACGCACATGCACACACACACGCACTGTCAAGTGCACATTCTCTGACATAAGAGCCCAGCTACCTTGCAGACATCTAACAGATGGCAGGAGGTCCAGCAGGGAGTCAGGGTGTTGAGCCAAGGGGTATAGGAAGGGCTGTTCCTTCTCTTGGGGAAGAGCCGATTAATCAAGGTTCCAGGCACAACAACAAAGAGTCAACATATCATACCCTATTTAACCCTAAAAACACAACCCCAAGAAGACTGCTATGTCACAGAGGAAAGTGCCCAGAGAGGGGAAGCCACTTGCCTAATGTCCCCTGGTCTGACCCGAGTGCCTCCAAGCCCTACCTGCAGCACTATGCACTCAGGGGATGTCACTGTCACGACTGCATCCCTCATGCACAAAAAGTGCTTCAAGAAATGGTGCTTGGAGTAAGGTTAGTTAAAATTGTCCTTTACCATCATAAACAGATTGCTTAGTCAATCTCTCATTCTCTCTCTCCCTCTCCCCATAGTACTACTGAGCGACACCCCAGGCCTTTCTCCTTTATATTAGGTCCAAGGGTTAATCTGTACTTTGTTTTAAGTATTGGGGATTGAACCCAGGCCTTCATAATAAGCTCTATCCCCAACCCTTGTTATTTTAAAATTTTATTATATGCTTGAGCTGCATAATCAATAGAATCATCTTAGGGAGTTGGTACAATATGCACCTTAATCATTTGTTCTATTTATTATTTTTATTTTTTTGGTGGAACTGGCGATTGAACTTAGGCCCTTGTGCTTGCCAGGGAAGCACTTATTCCATTGAGCCATCTCCCTAGCCCCCTCTTTATTTATTGTTTTGAGACAGAGTTTCACTATGTAGTTCAGCTTGGCCTTGAACTCACTATGTAGCCAAAGTTGTACTCAAACTCACAGCAATCCTCCTGCCTCAGCTTCCCAAGTGCTGAGATCACAGGCATGCTCCACACCAAGCTAAACTGGGCTTGCTTAAATGGTTTCAGGCCCTCTGCTCCAGGAAGCCCTCTCTGATTACCCGGATCTGGCTAGCCATGTCCTCCAGGGCCCCACAACTCTGTTCTCTTCCACCATCCCAACCCTGACCACTCTGAGTACCCACTATGCACAGAACTGTCTGTCCCCCCACTGGCCTGGGAGCCCCGTGGAGCAGTGTCTTGGTCACTGCTGTGTCCCCAGAAAAGTGGGATGCACAGTAGGAGCTCAAGAACTGACTGCTGCCTGATAGAGGACAGCATGGTGAGAAGGAAGGGAAGGAGGGAGGGAAAGAAAAGGAAAGCTGAGATTGTAAGATAGACAGGATTTGAAAATTAAGCGACAAGAAAGCTGGACGTGTGGGCAGTACAGACAGTGGGAGCAATATGTGGAGGCGAGAGAGAGGCAGCAGGAGTCCGCAGGGCAGTGTGTGCTGAGACTCTGTGACGTCAGAGGGGTCAGGGACAAGGAGCCAGGGAAGACGCTCCCAGCCAGGAGGCTCTGCCTGGCTCTGCTCCGAAGGCAGCACTGAGCTCCTGATCACTACCAGGAAGTCCCAGGGGAGCTACGGCAGGCACCAGAGCAGGGAGTGTCTGGTCAGAACTTGGCAACTTCTGGAAGGACAAGGAAAACAGGAGATAAGAGCAACCTGGGAAGAAGGCAAGTTAGGAACGGATCTTCACAGCAAAGGGTTTAAAAATGAAAGGTTTGAAGTTCAGGTAAGACAGTTAGATCCTGGGGGCCGGGGAGATGGCTCAGTAGAATAATTGCTTGCCTGGTAAGCACAAGACCCATCTGAGTTCAATCCCCGGTTCTGCAAAAAAAAAAAAAAAAAGACAGACCCTGGCTCTAATTTGACTGTCACCTGTCACTGCTACCCCAGTTTCCTCACCTGTAAACTAGAGATAATAATCCTGACTGCTCAGTGCTGTGAGAAGGATTCAAAGAGGTAACACATATAAAGCTCTTACAATAGTGCCTGGGACACTGGACTTCCTTGGACAAGCGACTTGACCCCTACACCTCAGTTTCCTCCCCTGGAAAGGAAGTAATAATAGTACCTACATTCTAGGGCCACTGTGAGAAGTAGATGAGGTGGCAAGCCCCAAAGAGCCTAGCAGGGCTGGGCACAGGTGAGTGCTAGCGGTTGTCTTCCTTGTTGCTGTTGTTATTATTCTTAGTCACCCACTTGCAGCTCAGCTGTGCTGAGATGCCAAGCAGCTGAGAGCACCCAGGGAAGAGCAAGAGCAGAAAGTCCCAGAGGCTGAGCTGCTTTGCTTGGGCACCCGCACGTCCAGGCAGGTCTGCTTCTCACAGCTGTGGCCACATGTGGGAATGCATCTCCGAGGGAGGCGTGTGAGGCGTGCTCAGGGCAGACTCCAGCCAGGGGCCGTGGGTCATGGGCTGGGCAGGGAAGCCATGGACTACGGACTACGCTCCCAGCCCCACATAAGGCTCCAGTTCACACCCCCATTTGCCCTGATCCTCCCTCCCAGAACCTGTCCTGCGAGCCCTTCTGATTCACCAGGGGAGAACCACACCCAGGCTAGGGGCAAGGGTGGAGGATGTAAACAGGAATCTTCAGGGACCCCTTGAGCTGGAGACCAACAGGGACACAGGCTGGGTCCAGGACCCCTGCACATTTGGAGTTGGCACAGCCTTTTGATAATCTGATAAATGCAGGAGCCTCTGCTCTTCCTAGAAAAACACAAATAGAGTAAGCGTTGGGGGACGGTTCAAGACCTGGTAAGGCAGCCACAAAACCCAAACTATGGTATTTGGGGAAGAAAGTGAGCTCTATCTCCCTATTCCAGTGTTCTTCAGGTTTGGGAATCACAGACTCCTCAGGATTCAACAGAAATCAGAGAACCTCGCTGCAAAATTACATGTGCACACACACAGATTCACACAATGGCGCAATTTCAGGGGTTCCTGAGCATATCAGTCAGTAGTCTTCCATTGTAGACAGCAGGGCTAGAGATAGTGGAGGAAAGCGAAAGGGGGAATGTTAGCGGGGGCTGGAGTGGGTTACGACCTAGCCCTTCACACACAGGAGGTCAGTACAGGAGGTTCCTGGAGATGCAAGCTAAGAGTAAACTAATAGAGAACGTCCCAAGCAAAGATTGGGATATATGCTAAGGCAATGTGGCTCAGGGGCAGAATGGGTCCCACTCACCCCAGACCTGTCCTCAGGGTCGCTGGTACCTCCACCCCCGGCCACGAAGTCATCCTCAGACTCATCAAAAGAGGAGGCAGAGGAGAAGCCCCCACTGCTCCCCTCAATCCGAGAGGGTAGTCCCTCTGGCTGGGCCCCAGGCTCCGGGGTCTCAGGGGTGATGATGAGGCGAGGCACAGGACACAGGGAACTGCACTCCAAATGAGAGCACAGGTGAGTCACCAACTCCACAGGCTCAGTTTCCTTTGATGGGCCATCTTGGTTGGGCTCCCCCAAAAGGCAGTCTGTTCCAGGTCCTGACTGGGGATCATCAGTCCTAGGCTGTGTCCAGGAGTCATCGTGAGTTTCTTGCTGTACTGGGAAACCAACATTGCTAGGCTGCTTCCAGGCTGTTTCAGTACTTTGTTGTATCTGGGAGCCATCAGTGTGTGGCTCTGTCCAGGAGACTTCGGTATCCTGTGGCATCCTGCAGCCATCAGTGTACAGTTCTTTCCAAGAGCCATCAGCAGTTGGTTCCGTGAAGGGACAGGCTCCCTCTGGGAAAGTCCGGAAGTCCGGCCTGCTCTGATGGGTCCAGAGGTTATCAGCCCAGGGTTTCACCCTCTCTGGCTGGGTCTGCCACCCTGGTATTTCTAGCTCTGTCCAGGGCTCAGCAAACCCCGGCTGTGTCCAGACGCTGGCCCTCTCTGACTGAGCCTGCAGGTCAGTTCTGTGTGTACTAGCCCATAAGCCATCTGTTCTAGTCTCCCTCTGAGCACCGGTAGTCTCCAGCTCTGACATGCGGCTGCTCTTTTCTGGATGAGTCTGGGGGCCGGATCCTTCTGGCTCTGTATGTTGGCCGGGACTCTTCCTCTGTACTACTAGGCCAGCTGCTTCGGGCTCAGCCAGTCCATGTGTCCACGGCTCTGTCTGTGCACCTTCTGTCCCCGACTCGGGCCCGAGACTAAACCCCTCGGTCGAGGCCCGGGGTCCGCCCCCCTCCGGTCGCTCTGCCGAGCCCCCAGCGCCAGGCCCGGATCGCTGCTGCCCTGGCTGCCGCCGTCGCCCCCCTCGCAGCGCCTCCAGCCCCATGCGGGCCGCTGCGGGAAGCGCCCCGGCCTCCGCCTCACTCAGGGTCCCCCGGCACGGGCAGCGCCTCATGCCCGCTCCCTCAGTTAGGGATACGGCCAGTCGGCCGCTCCTTCCCCTTTAAATCCTGCGAGGGGTGTGGCTGGGGAGCCCCGACGCGAGTTCCGGACTGAAGAGCTCCAACCCACCCGTCCTAGTAAGGGTTAACCGAAACTCCGCCTCCCAGGGAAAGCACGGAGCCACGCCCACCGGACGTGACGTGTGGGCGGGGCCTGACGGCTCTTCCAGTCTCCGTCAGAGGGGGGCGTGTCTCTGCGCCTCAGCAAGAAGAGGTTGGCTTTGCTGTAGGGGTCCTAACGGCGCTCAGAGGGGAACCCTCCCTAACCGTGATTAAGCCAACCTCCCTGTGACCTCGAGTGACCTTTTCAGCCTCCCCGCAGCCCTTGGTGATAAGTCCAGCCGTGCATCTTTTCTACATGCAGGGGGGCGGACCTACTGGAAGACTTGGGGATCTTGCGGGCCTGTTTGAGAGCCTGCACACTCACTTATCAGCAGTGTTACCTTGAGCGAATGACTTACGCCCTATGGAAAACGTATTCCACAGGAAATCTCCTGTACGGAGCACTTGTTCTGTAAGAAGCCATGACACAATTTTAAGCTTCTATAGTTCGAAATTTAAAAATGAAAGCACTGAAGCTCTAGGTCTGCCAGCATCTAGGCTTTGTTTGTAGTCCTGGTACTACTATCTGATATGACCTCATGGATGCCAAGCATCCGGTGCCAGTCTTGACAGTATCAGCCACGGCCCAGTAGAGTTCCTTGTCAAAGGTGTGTTTTGTAGTTTGCTCTAGTGATGAACTGGCCTTAGTTCCTGAGTCAGACCCTCACCTTTGAAAGAGAGCAGAGGGAAGATTTAATTTTGAAATTGAGTCACCCAGAGGAAGGACACCAGGCACAGGCCTAAGGCTCTGGGATGAGTCACCTCAGAGCAATGAGAAGTCAGAGACGGGCTGACCTGGTGACACCCTGCGGTTTGGTTCGGAAGCTGAGGTCCGCAGAGGGAGGAGGGCTCCTCTGAGATCACATAAGCATAGAAACAGGGAGCCCTCATTCCCAACAAAAAGGGGTTGGACGGGAGGAGCTGGTGGCTGTGGAGGACACATCTGCATTTTTCCCTCTGTCCGTGGTGGCAGAAATCTCCCAGCTGTTTCTGGAACAGCTGTTTCTGTTCGAGAGGGTGAGAAGGGTGAGTCGCTCCATCACACACGCAGAGATGCCTGGAAGCTGATTTCCTGGGATGCCAACGTTCCTGACTCAGCGCTGGGAGTCTTGGCTGCGTGTGTTCTGGGAAATGTCAGGCCTGCAGGAAACAGACGGCCCCCACTCGCACCATCCCGCAGGTGGGCGGGGAGCAGAGGGAGCAAGGTGTGTGAGGGAACAGAGGCTTAGTGTGCAAGTGAGGGGTTTATGTACAGGGTTGAATTGAGGGTGTGAGTGGCAGACAGTTGGCAGGCAAGGCAGGGGATTTATATGTGCAAAGAAGGAGGTTGGGTGCCAGGGTGTGGGTGTTTGTGCCAAGTGAAGGAGCTCTATATGCGATCTGTTTGCTCAGAATGTGTTCAAAGGAGAGATGTTGGGCCTGCCATACCAAGAGTACAAAGAAAAGGGAACCTGACAAAATGTGCGTGCAGAAAGCTGTGGCGTTTGTGAAGAACAGTGATACCCGTACGAAAGACAGGATAGGAAACCGGAAGAGCTGCCGCGTGCGCGAGCCTCAAGAGGTGCGTGGAGGGCTGGGGAGATGGTTCAGTAGAATAAACGCTTGCCTGGCAAGCGCAAAGTCCTGAGTTCAATCCCCGGTACCACAAAAAAAAAAAAAAAAAAAAAAAAGGTGAGTGGGAGAGGCTAAGAGGCACGTGCGCGCTCCCGGGCTCGCCGGGTAATTCTGGCGGCTGCAAAGTACAATTAGATACGCTCAGCTCTGCTTCTCTGTCCCGCCCCGGACACGCCTACCGCGGTGCACAGCGGGACGCACCCCATGCCCATCAGCGAGTTTCTGCTCTGCTATTGGCTAAGTGACCGGACGGGGCGGGCCGGCGGTTCCCGGAAGCACAGGAGGCCACTTGAGCAGCGGCCGCGAGTCCAGGAGCTGTAGGTGCTTAGCAACGGGGGAGCGGTGGAGTGGTAAAGTGGGGAGGCACGAGATAGACTGTGGGTGCCAAGCCAGGAAGAGTGAGGCGGCGCCTAGCAACGGGGGGATATCTCCGAGAAGTAGAGAGGTAGCCCTGGAGGATCTGTGGGTGTCTAGCAACAGAGGAGGATCCCAGCAACGAAAAGGGGCTGGGAATTGTGGGTTTGAGAGGCGCATAGGTAGAACTGTAGGTTCCTAGGAACGGGGGAGGTAACCAGGAGGAGCTGCGAGGATCTATTAGCAGGGGAGAAGATCTGTAATAGATAAGAATTTTTATTTATTTTTTTTTTAAGATAAGATTCTTAAAAGGGGCGGCCGCGGGGCCACACTGGCCTTCCAGAGAGGCGGGGCACACCAGGGAGCCAGCTCTAAACTTGTAACCTAAAGATTCCTCCTGTTCTCTCTTAGGCAATGTGGCTGGAGCTAGGGGGCCTACTGCGGGGGACCTGTGCGCAGCTAGGCTGGAATGTTGGTCTGCCCCGTGGAGCTCTGGGGCCTAGGCCCCACTGGTGGGTAAGAGATGAGAGGAGTCCGTCGAGGACAAGTGGCTCCGTGAGGCTTCAGAAAATAAATGGAAGTAGGAGTAGGCCAAAAGGGCCAGTCAGACCCCACATCCTTCACTCTTCACCACAGTACTCTTTACCACAATCCAAATCTCTTGCAGGGCCCCTGCAGGGGCTTGGGGGCCCGAAAGTTTCATCAGGATGAACCTGGGAAAGGCCTGGGCGAGGAAGACATTCGGAGGGCACGGGAGGCCCGAGTTAGGAAGACACCCCGGCCCCAGGTAGCATCACCCTGCCCACCCACCAGCAATACCTACGAAGGCTACGGCCTCCTCATCTTGGGGAAAGGGGGGCAGTGGGTTGGTGGGATTCCAGATGTTGTCCCCACCCTCAGAGCTTGTTCTGTTTCCTAGCTGAGTGACCGCTCTCGAGAACGCAGGGTACCAGCCTCCCGGATCAGTCGGCTGGCCAGCTTTGGGGGTAGGTGTGACTTAGGGATCAGGATGTTACCTGGATCAGAGGAGGCAACATTTACAGGACAAAGGAAGAAAAAGATAAATGAGAGATAAGAGAGAGGAGGGATGTTTGGGGAGATGGCTCAGTGGAATAAGCGCTTCCCTGGCAAGCGCAAGGGCCTGAGTTCAATCCCCAGTTCCACAAAAAAAAAAAAAAAGAGGAGGGAGAACTGGGGAAAGAAGGACATAAGCCAAGGCTTGGAAAGCCAAGAGGAATATAAATGGTAACATTTATTGTGAAACTCTTTAAGTGCAAGGGCCACTACACAATGATCTCTCTGTACTTCCCCCCCATTCTAGAGGTGAGGAAATGGAGGCAGAAAGAAATGAGGTGACATGACTCTGGGTCATGCAGCAGAATTGTTCAAACCTGCCTGAAATAATTAGAAAAAAAAGAGAGAAGCAGAGAAAAGGAACTGGGGAGAACAAAATAGGAATCCTCAGAAAGGCACTGCTTTGGGGGCTTTTGTGTGGGGGGTACTAGGGATGGATCCAGGGCCTTCACACTGAGCTGCATCCTCAATCTCCTGTGCTTTATTTTATTTTTTAAATTTGAGACAAGTTCTTGCTGAATTGGTAAACTATCCAAACTGGGTTCAGATTTGTAATCCTCTCACCTCAGACTCCCAAGAGGGCTGGGATTATGGACCTGAACTACCACACCTGGCCTCAGGCCTTTCTCAGCTGGAGTGCTTAATAACATACACATTCCTGGGTCTCCTCTCAGAGATCAGAAGCTTAGGAGTGGGGCCTGGCATTTACCAAAGCTCACTAGAGATGCTAAACTATTGGGAGAGGGTCAGGGATGTGGAAGAGGGTAAAGTGAAAGGGGGCCTCACTTTGAAGGGAAACATAAACTGGAAAGAGTAATATCGTGAATTGGAGACAGATGTAGCGAGGTAAGGAGAGACTGAGAAAATGGTTGTGGAAAAAAAAAAAAAAGAAAGAAAATGGTTGTGGAGGCCTGTGTCTGCAATCCCAGCTCCCCAGTAGCTGAGACGGATTGCAAATTTGGACAACTTACGGAAAGACCATGTCTCAAAATAAAAAGGACTGGGATGTAGCTCAAGGGCAGAGCACCCCAGTATTAGAGAATGAGAAAAGAGAGAAGGTCTGAGAAGAAGGCTTCAGGCAAGCAGGCACTCAGGATCCTGTCTCACTCCCCAGGACTGGCTGTGGGCTTGGGGCTGGGAGCTCTGGCTGAGGTAGCCAAGAAGTCCCTGCCAGGAGGACATCTGCAGTCAGGTAAGTGAACCTCATCTCCTGGGTTCAGATCCTGGCCTTCCTGTGTGACCTGGGTTAGGTGGTATCACCTCTCTGAGCCTCATTTTCTTTGTTGGAAGATGGGAGTAATAATAATGTATTCATCTCTTAAGGTTGTTCCCAAGTACATAGAACCAGGGCTAAGCAGCTGTCTGGGCTGTGATAACAGAAACTGTGAGCTGAGAAAAATAGAAGCCGTTGAGAGTTGCAGACTCTGGGGCTGGGAAGATGGCTCAGTAGAATAAGTGCTTGCCTGGCAAGCACAAGGGCCTGAGTTCAATCCCTGGTTCCACCAAAAAAAAAAAAAAAAAGAGTTGCAGACTGTGAGCAAGGGAGGAAATGGTGCCCATGGGAAGTATATATATACACCGGAAATAGAATCATGTGTATAGAATTTTACTTTTTTTTTTTTTTTTTTTTTTTGCGGAACCAACGATTGAACTCAGACCCTTGCATTTGCCAGGCAAGCCCTTATTCCACTGAGCCATCTCCCCAGCCCCGATGTGTAGAGAATTTTTAGGGCAGATTCCCTAACAAGCCAGTGCCTTGAGACAAAAGTGAGGGCTGATAGTCAAAACCTCCCCTAAAAAAGACTAAAAT